CCAGGAAATCTTCTCTATCTCCTTCCCTGATTATTGAGTGAAAGCCATTTCTTTTGGAAGGTGTGAAGGGATGGATGTCCCAGTCCCAACAAGACAGGAATAACTCAACTGCTCCAGGATGAGAGTCCAGGGCAAGGCTGGGCATTAAAGCAAGGTTTGAATTGTGCCTCAGTACAGGGGTGTCACTGCTGGTGTGACTGGGGACACATCAAATTGTCCTTGGGATAGGCAGGAAAGACCTGAAGACATGGAAAACATATTCACCCCTTGTATTGCACAGGCCTGGAGTGCCAGGACAGGGGGGAATGGTTTCCCACTGACAGAGGGTGGGGATAAATGGGATACTGGGGAGAAATACTTGGCTGTGAAGGTGGGGAGGCCCTGGCACAGGTTTCCCAGAGAAGCTGTGGCTGCCCCATTCCTGGAAGTATTCTAGGTAAGGTTGGACAGGGCTTGGACAAACCTGGGATAGTGGAATGTGTCCCATGGCAAGGGGTTGGAATCGATGATTTTTACAGACTCATTCAACCCAAACCATTCCATGATTCCATGAAGAGACCTGCTGACCAAAGGGAGCCTGTAGGATTTTTTTTTCAGGTTTTGGAGTAGGTTTTTGGCACTCTGATCCATGGATTTCATATGTTTTAGCTTTCAGTTCCCTGTAAAATGTTGGATCTCATGGATTTCAGCAATTTGCCCAGCCATGAACTGGTGCAAAATCATTTCCCCTCAAGGCACAACATCCCCACCACATTTAGTGAGGATATTCAGAAACTTTAAGCTCAATCCTAAAAAAAATGTGTGTCTGGACCAAGCCTGGAGCCACCAACGTGTGACAATTCCCATCTGTCCAATGGGGACTGAGGGATAAAAGGGATCAGGACCCAGAACAGGGCACAGAAGGATTAAAACATGTTTTAATTCTTGTGTTTTCCAACCGGATGGGAATGTGCAGAGTGCAGCCTCAGGTCTGTGCTGGAGGTGGAGCCCACCCAGACCATCTGCCCCAGCCTTTTGCAACACTCTGAGCGTCTCTCTTGTATCCAAGTGACCCAAAATGACTTTTCTAAATTAAGATCCCAACCACGATGCCGTGCTCGACTTCCTTCCCCCTCAACACATCTGCTGCTGACACTGAAAGGATCTTTTCACCTCATTTTTAGGCTTTGTTTTTATGCCTGGGGCTGTACAGAATAAAGAGGGAAAGAGGCTTCTGTGCTCCTCTAGAATTAGGGATGTGAGAGTCAAGCAGGAGAAAAATGAAGATATCCGAGAGAGGATGTGCTGCCGTGTCAGAGGCAGATGCTCCAAGCCCTCCAAACCCTAATATGGAAAAATAGCTCTATTTTAAGACCGGAAAAAAGTGCACATGATAGGTTTGAGATGAGAAATAATTTGGGAGTGATATTGAAAATGATATCACTGCTGCTGTACTTCAGCGCTGCCAGGCTCATTCCATAATTAATAACTCCTTCAGATGGAGTGACTTTCCTTTGAGGGTGCAGAATTAAACATTTAAATCCCTCTCTGTAAATACAAGGCTGTGGCAGAGCTCTCCAGAAGCCTCGCAGCTACACTCTAATGTATATTTATATTCTAGATAAGTATTTTTAGCAAGAACTACAAGTCCTCTCTGTATTTGATGACATCAGAGCTCTGTTTTACATGCAATGTCCCAACTGCAAAAAATATCCCCTTCTTGTTCCTGCTCTTGGAATATCGCAAAAATTTCTGTCCTTATCTCATCTCTCTTTCATGTTTAATGTGTGTTCCAAGAGGGCTGTGTGGGGCTTTTTTCCTCTTTCTTGCTCTCAAAGATGATTAAATATATAATTTTTTTTTAAAAAACAAAGCAGCCAAATAGCTCCTGGTGTTTCCCACCTCTGCAATCAGGGCATGCTGGGATAACAACCACCACTCATGGCCTGGCCAGTGTCCTGCTGTGGAAAGCCACTGGAAATGATCCCTGCTGGAAAACCCAGTCCTTTAAATATTAATCCTGCTGTTCTTGCGATGCTTCCCTGGGAATCCTGCTCAGGGCAAACCAGGATTGAACCTGGGTCCTCCTTAAGTTTAAATCCAAGCTGAGTGTTTTGTCTTTCCAGAGAAATTATCTTTTGGAATGCCCACTCCACCTTCTGGAGTTGTGAAGCTCACAAGTAAAGGCTACTCAAGGCTCATACCTAGCCCTGATTTTTGGCTGGGACTCCACAGGATATCCCAGCTGGGATATCCTCACAGATGAGCCTCTCTTGTTCTTTACTCTCTAATTTCTGTGTGGAAAAAAGCATTTCAGGTTTGTAACTGGAAGCGGGAGATGCAGATCAGGAAAAAATTCTTCCCTATGAGGGTGGAGAGGCCTGGCACAGGTTTTCCAGAGAAGCTGGGGCTGCCTGTCCTGGATTGACTATATGATGCTTTTATCCCAAATCGTCTCGTTCTGTTATGCTGAATAGTAAGTTTTGCACCTTTAAGACGTGTTCCAGAGAGTGAAGGGGGGAAGAGAAGAAGCACACAGCTTGTTTTCAGACACTGCACTCACTCCTGCACATTCCTGCTCCTGCACTGAGATGTCTGTGTATGGATGGACAGCGGGACAGAGCTCTCTTTTGCTTTTAGTTAGTTTTAGCTAGCTGAGGCAAAGAAGTTCCCTGGACTGTGGTTTTTTCCCTTTTCTTTGGACCTGTTTAAAACTGCTCTGGACTGTACACCCAGAAGAGCACTGGCAGCTGCACCTGTGGCCCACTGGGCCGGGCCTGGCCTGGCCTGGCCTGTGACATTTCCAGCACTGAGGGACGGATCAGAGACTGAGTGAGCTGAGCTGCAACACGGAGAGGGGTTTTCTCAGTTTTTAATTTCTTTTGGAGCTGCAAGGGGTTTTATCGTTTAATATTGTTTAGGTTTTATTGTTTAATAAACAGGTTTTTTCCACTTTTCTCCAAGGAGGTAGTTTCTCCCGGACCAGTTGGGGGAAGGGGCCGATTGAATCAGTTTTCCTACAGGAACCCCTTTGGGGATCCTCTCCCAAATTTGCTCTGAACCAGGACACTGCCCATCCCTGGAAGTGTCCAAGGCCAGATTGGACAGGACTTGTATCAACCTGGGATAGTGGAAGGTGTCCCTGCCCATGGCAGGGGTTGGAATTTGATGGTCTTGAATCTCCCTCCCCACCCAAACCATTCCATGACTCTGCATACCTCTAGCGCTGCCCCACATTTGCAGAAGGGCTAGAAGGAGGTGGAAAAGGCAAGTTTTTCGACCAGATAAAGCATAAGGCACTGAGGAATGCCCTCAAATCTGGAGATAAAACCTCTGCATGTGCTGGGAAGAACAAGCCCTCAGACAGACAAGAAAAATCCCTCAGCAGAGCAACACCAGCGCTGGATTCCGCTGGCTGTGAAGCCTCACCCGGTAGGGCCGAGAGGTTGCAGGTCTTTTTCTGGCCCTTTGGAGACACATTTTCCTCTGTTCTATTTTCTCCAGCCTATATTTAAACTTCTCTCTCCCCGTGTCCACTCGACCCAGTGACGCAAAAATCCGGGCAGGCCTTTGATTCTCCTGCATTTCCTGGGGCACTGGCACTGGCTGTGTTTAACTCCTAAGGGGCAAAGGGAGGGATAAATAACAGCAATAACCCAAGAAACAGCAAATTCGAATTTTTTAAGTGTGCCTGTTCTGCCTTGTGGCTGCCACAGTGTGATCAGGTGGCTTGTAACACAAAAAAGGCCATTTTGTAACCCTGCGTGAAGGGTTTGTCACCTCTCCTAATCAAGGAATGTATTAGAGGTGCTTTGAAGATAAAAATCTGATTCTGAGTCTGTTTTGACTCCGGTAGAAACTCGTGGGTCACGTTGGCAGGTAAGTCCTGGGTGACAGGAGGCTGGGAGGGGCAGGATGCTCACAGCCAGCACTGGTGGCACGAGGGGACAGTCCCCACAGGGAGCATCTTTGCAGCACAGCAGGGTCACTCCCAGTCTCCTGTTAGCCTTGATGCTGAGCTCAGGCACTTTCTCTTGCTTCCTGAAGCCCTCCCAGTTCTCCCTGTGCATATCCCAAAACCACCTCCTGTCCCACTATTTTACCCCTCTCCCCCTCCTTTCCAGCAGGGATGGCCTTAAATCTGACTTTTCCATGGAGGATTTTTGCACTCCTGTGCTCATCTCTGTATGTGGTTTTCCCCCTCTCTGGCACAGGACAGTTTGGGAGCTAAAAAACAAGCCATAAACTGTCACAGACATCTTTTTATAAAAATCCTTTCCTTAGGATTTTTTCCTTCTGAGGAGCTGAGAGGCCTCAGAAACAAAATCTGAACAATGATTATCTGCTGCTGTGGAAAGAAACAGGTAGATCTGTGATTGGTTTCATGTAGATGTTTGGAATTAATGGCCAATCACGGCACAGCTGGCTCTCTCTCTGTCCAAGTCACAGACCTTAGTTATTCATTCTTTTCTATTCTTAGCTTAGCTAGCCTTCTGAGAACCTTTTTGTTCTATTCTTTTAGTATAGCTTTAATGTAATATATATAATAAAATAATAAATCAAGCCCTCTGAAACCTAGAGTCAAATCCTCATCTCTTCCCTCATCTGAAAACCTCTGTGAATACCATCACAATAAACCCCCTCCCTGCACCCTGTGCTGCCCCACACTCCTTTCCCATGGAAATATCCAGCACAAAATAAAGATGCTGCAGGATGAAAACAAGAGAATCCAACTTTATTTACCAAATTCTCACCCTCACCCTCTCAGTCCCTCTGTATCCAGAACCTGCCCCATCCACGGGTGGAAAGCAAAGCCCAGGATCCTGCAGAAAATGTGGAAAGGCTGCTGGAGACAGAGCTGGAATCCAGGACAAAAAAAAGGGATGTGATCTGAGTATGGCAAAGATGGAGCTTTGCTTCTGGCCTGACACATCCAGCTGGTTTTGAAGCAGGGAAAAACAGAACAGATGAGTGGGAAGCAGGGGCTGGTTCTCGGTGTCTGTGAAGGTAGGTGGAATACTGGGATTTGAGTAACTTCCAATTATTGTCCTCTCCATGGCATTTGCTCCCTGCAGATCTCAGCATTGCCAGGGGGTGTTCCACTGTTTTAGTGGGTTTCACCTCCAGGGAAAACGGCTCACCATCCTCCTGAGCTATGCCAAGGAATGCAAGATTGTCCAAGTTTTCTCCTAAATGGTACTGAGACAGACCTTGAGAAAATATTCCCTCTGTGCAAGGAGGAAAAAGAGCCCCCTGCTTTTGTTTCTTGTGGAAAGAGAGTGGAAAAAGGAGGGGGGGGAATGGAGGATAAATGGATTTTGCCACAGAGGAGGTTGCAGGGATGCAGTGAGCACACAAGGATGGTGCATGGGGTGTATCCATGCTCCACTCTACCCTTGTTTCCTGATCATCTGGACGATCCCTGGCAATAGGAGCAGAGGGAATGGCAAATTTCCTGCATCTCTGTGAGCTGGGCACACCTGGCTCATTCATATCTGCTTCCACTCCAGCTGCTTTTGCAGAAGGCAGGGCCTCAGAATCAATCCCACATCTGCTCCAAGCAAATCTCAGCTGGGATCTCAGCACTTTAAACGATTTTTCCTAGAGCTGAGGGTCTGGGATAACCATTACTTTTCCTATCCTGCAGTCTCTGCTCTGAAGGGATGAAGGGAGGGCAGAATAAGAGAAGAATTTGCTTGGAATAGTCTTTAAAACATCTGGAAAGGGAAATCTGGGAGCTCCAACTGCAACCTGAGCTCAGGCAGAAGCTGAGGGAGGGGGGTGTGTGTTTGTCTGGCCAAAGTTGGAAATTTGAGTTGCAGGTTTGTCAGTCCAGGGGGTGTGCTGAGCTTTCCAGAAATCCATCCTCTTCCCACATGGAAGCTGAGCCCTTCTGAACTCATTCCTTAGCTTATCCTTGGACTTAAGCTCCAGATCTCTGCAGTTGCCACCCACACCCTGACGGGCAGGAAGTAACTGGGCCCAGATCCATCTGCTCCTCTCAATCAGGACATGGCACAGGATTCCCAGAGAAGCTGTGGATGCCCCTGGATCCCTGGAAGTGTTCCAGGCCAGGTTGGATGGGGCTTGGAGCAACCTGGAATGGTGGAAGGTGTCCCTGCCCATGGCAGGGAGTTGGAGCTGGATGATCTTGAAGGTTCCTTCCAACCCAACCCATTCTCTGTGGATCCTGAGGACCAGAAGCAGCTGAAGGTGAGGAATATCTGCTTAAACAGCAGGAAACTGGAGATTTGAGGGGTTTAAGTCCAGGTTTAAGTCCATTCTTGGTTTGAATCCAGCGTTGAAGATGGGGTGAAGCCACCCGTCAGCAAAGAAGGACATTCCCAAAGCATCTAAGAGTTCGTGAGGCAGCTTGGCAGGGAGAGTGGTGGGCTTTCAGCTGGAGCTGGGACACTTGTGACCTCACAGGAAGCACTGAAGGACCGTGCCAGCCACCAGTGCCACCAGAGCCAGCGCTGCAGAGCTGCTCCTCACCCTACTGCTGCTGTTGGTGTCCTCTGTGCACAGGTCAGTGTAGCAGCAGGATTTGGGCTTTTGGGCCCCTATCCCATCGGAGGTGAGGCATTCCTCCTCACAGTCCCTGGTCACGGTGATGTTGCCAAAAAAGGGATAACCTGGGAGAGGCAGATTGGACAGGAGGAGGAGGTGAGAGAGGGGAAAAAACAGGGAAAGAAAAAGGGATTGAGAAACACTGACAGAGGAGGGGTTGGACATCCCTAATCCATGGGTGCCTCTAACCCAGCCTATTTTTTTGTGGGAACAGGCCTGCCAGCTCTCACTGTTGACTCTCTCTCACCCTCCTGCTCCTTTCAAATCATTCTACCATGGACAAGGGACACAATTCCCCATAGAGGTTTGCACCCTCTATAAATTCAAGGTCCAGAGAGATATCGGGGTAGGAAAGGCAACACAGTGGCAACAGGTGCAGTGAGTCCTGATACTTCACTGTGAGGCTCCAAATCTGATGGATTTCTCTCCTTTCCTCTCTAAAGTGGGATAATTTCACCAGGGTTTTTACAGAGATGTTAAAGGGACTGGGATGGGGAGAGGGAAATGTGGCCAGCAGATTGAGGGAGGTGATTCTCCCCCTCCGTTCTAGTGAGACGCCACCTGAAGAGTGGGATCTGCATCCAGCTCGGGGGTCCTGATACAATAAAGACAGGGAATTGTTGGAACAGGTCCAGAGGAGGCCATGGAGATGCTCCAAGGGCTGAAGCTCCTCTACTCTGGAGCCAGGCTGGGAGAATTGGGAATGTTCATCTGGAGAAGGGAAGGCTCCAGGGAGATCTCAGAGCCCCTTCCAGCACCTGAAGGAGCTCCAGGAGAGCTGGAGAAGGACTTGGGCAAGGGATGGAAGGACAGGACAATGGGAATGGCTTCCCATTGCCAGAGGCTGGGGTTAGATGGGATTTTGGGAAGGAATTCTTGGCTGTGAGGGTGGTGAGGCCCTGGCACAGGTTTTCCATAGAAGCTGTGGCAGTCCCATCCCTGGAAGTGTCCAAGACCAGGTTGAACGAGGTTTGGAGCAACCTGGGTGACTGGAATGAGGGAATTTGGAGTTCCATGACCTTTAAGCTCTCCCCCAACCCAACCCATCCTGGAATTCTCCCCAGGGCCCCTCAGGGGCAGTGGTGTCACTCACCTAAGTCCACGGAGTGCAGGGTCGTGGTGCACACGGTGGCTCTTGGGGGACACGTGACGGGTGTCCTGCACTGGGAAATGTCAATGGGCTGCTTGCACACGTAACATTGCAGGGACTGGGCTGCAGAGGGGACAGAAAAGGCTCTGAGGTGACACAGCCAGGAAGACAGACCCAAATCTGCAGCTTTCTGACCAAAATGCAGCAGTGTCCAAAATTGTCTAAAATTAACGTGTCTGGAGGCAATGGCAGAGCTTGGATATGCCAGGGGGTAAAAAGATAAATCCTAGCACTGGACGACAACGGTGGTGTAGCAGGAGCTGGCCCTAAACATGACTTTGGAGGCTCAGCAGCCTGAAAAAGGGGGATTTAGAGGGACTTAAGCTTGAGTTTTGGTGTGTCTGAGCTTCCTCTTTAAGAATTCAGCCTAGAGAAGAGGAGGCTGAGGGGAGACTTTTTGGGATCTACAACTTCCTGATGAGGGGAAGTGGAGGGGCAGCACTGACTTCTTCTCTCTGGAGCAGTGACAGAATCCAAGGGAATGGCCTGAAACCGTGTCAGGGGGCGTTTAGGTTGGATATCCAGTGCCTAACTGGGTTCTTCCCCCAGTCACGCACTGGAACAGACTCCCCAGGGAATGGTCATGGCCTCAAGGGCTCAGGACATGTTTGGACAATGCTCTCAGGCCTCAGGGTGGGATTATTGGGATGTCCTGGGCAGGACAAGGAAATGGGCTTTGATAATCCTTGTGGATCCCTTCCATATCAGGATATTCCATGATGGTAAAAACCAGCTCCCTCTGCTTAGAGCAGCATTCCCCAGCTGTGACAGATGGGGCAGCTCCCCCATCCCTCCCCTCACAGCAACAGCTCCTTCCTGCTTGTTTAAGGGAAATTCTGCAGGAATCAGCACTGAGAGCAGGATTTAAATTTCAGAGCTGTGTCAGAGATCCTGAGGGCTGAGTGAGGCCCTAAAACCACCCTCATCAGGGGCCACTGCTGCTTTTTGAAGAGGCCATGTACAAACCCTTGCTGGCTGCCACCTGAGGGGGGGATATCTCTAAATATGCAAATCTATGCAAAGCAGCTCTCAAAACCCTCAGTGTGAGCACTGTCCATCCACAGCCAGCAGACACTGAGAGTGTGGATTTTCCAAAGTCCTGCTGGCGTGGCTTGGTGACAAAAACCAGCCTGGTTTGAGATTTTCTATCCTACCCTCCTTCCACCGGTTGAAAAACAACCTGCGAGCGTCCAGTGCCATCTATTGGTAAAAATTCAAACCGACGCTGTTTGTTTTTTTTTTGTTCCCGGTCTGCCATCAGAGGAACCTCTGGGGCTTTGTGATAAGGATAAATATTTTTGAAGGCATTTGTTTGAACACCTGACTTCAGAAAGGAATTTTCAAACATCTACTCCTCGCAGCAGCTCCTTTGGAAAATTCAGCTGTGGGGTAGAGCCTACACAGTGCAAAACTTCGCTTTCTCATTCCTTAGCTCTTGCTAAGGAATTCAATTCAAAGAGACAATTCCTTGTCTCTTTGCAGAAGTAAAAAGGATTTTTTCATGGAAATATTTCAATTTTCTTGTGGCCATATTATCTGTAAACAAGGGTGGTGGAGCCATCCCTGTTTATCCCAGCTCAGGACCTCACTAGTGCCCTTCCCAACGATCCATGATCCAATCCATAAAACTGTTATATATTTTAACAGAGGTAACACATAATCAACAATCATTTGGATGCCTGTGGATGCCCAGGATGGATGGATGGATGAACGGAGCAATTCTGGCTTCAGAAACTTGAGAAACTGCCTTGCAACCCTTGGGGTGAGGTGGTTTCCATTTACAAACCTCAATATTTTCATAGATAAACTGGGAAGTGCCTTGGGGGAATTGATCTTGGTTAAAAGCAGATTTAAAGAAGGAAAACCTCGACCCCCTCATCTTTCACTGACTCCAGATGGGGCATTTAGAGGACATGGGTTTTGTGGGAAGGTTGCATGGAAGAGGAAAGCCCAAATCCATAATAACTGGGACAGGAAAACTGAACAGGGACAGCTCTTCATCCTGACCTGAGCCAATAATTCCCTATTCCTCACTGTCCAACAAGGCCTCCTATTCCTTGATATCAAACCTCAGGAACAGGAACGGTCACAGACACATCCCTCAGCCCCAACAGGGGTGCCTAGACCAGCTGCTTCCCTTTGGATCATCCCAAAAAAATATTTCTGCCTGATTTCAACTATAAAGCAAATGGGGTTGATAACTCTGTTTCCATAAAATTCTTTGAGATTTTGGGTGGTTTCTCAGAAATTCCATTAAATCCAAGGGAAAAATTCAGATGGAGATGTTTGATCCCTGCCCAGGCTGCCTTTCCTTCGAGATCTTCCATGGAAACAACCCATGGATCTGGGGCCCATGGGCTGTGGGTTAAACCCCTCTGGGGTGGTGCCATCCCTGGAATGCCTTTTCCAGGCTGGCATGTGGCTGCAGTTTGTCACATCCGCATGGAGGAAGCACACAGAGATGGCCAAACCCTGCTGCCAGCTTGCCCAAAATCCATCACACACCCAGGGGAATTTCCCATTTCCACCTATCTCCTGAAATATCTCCTGAAATTCCAGGGGAATTTCCCATCTCCTGAAATAAGGGAAAATCCTGGAGCTGGGGGTTTAATAAAACTTTCCAATGTCCTTGGAGTTATTTCTCATACCCCCACTGCACTGAAGTTTCACCTTCTGGCTTCCAGCACTTCCAGCAGTCAGCTGGAAGGTTTTAGGAAAGTCAGGAGCTTGGGATGAACATTCCTCATGGGACAGGGTGGCAGCTCAGGTAGAGACTGGCACTTCAAGCTCTTGCCCAGGCTGGTCCTGCCCTGTGCCTTGTGGTTGTCCCCTCCATCCCTGGAGAATCCAAAAGACGTGCATCGCTCCCAATCAGGCATCACAGCTCTTCCCACCAGGAATGCATCTCCCCTTTCCCATTTCACCCTCTCTTTCGACCTTCTTCAACACAAAAGGCATAATTTCCCCTACCTGGGGGTCACCAGGTCTTTCCCCTCCTTCCCCTCCCACAAATTTCCCAGGATGGGGGGCCCTGGAGTGTTGGGAATGAGGAGCTCTTACCCAACTCCACGAATGCCAGGCCCAGCAGGAATCCCACCAGGAGTTTCTTCATGCTGAGAGCAGATCCAGGCAGCCAGGACAGATCCAGAGAGCTTCTCCCAAGGAGCTTTATATGTTTTCCCACCCTCCACCATCAGCTGTTGTTGATCCTGTGGGCGGATTCCCTTGGGGTGATCAGGGGAAAGCCCAGCTCCAGTCTGGATTGGGATTTGCAGAGGAACGAGTTCTCTGACGAGGTGACATCACCCCAACGAGCAGACTCCTGCCATACCTCGGCTCTTTCCCGGGTTTATGTCCTGGGGCTGGTCCCATGGAAAAAGGAAAAACACAGCTGGCACTGCAAGGTGTGGTCCCGTGCCAGGGCTTGGATGGGGAATGTGACAAGGTTTGTTTGCTCCTTCCAGTCTGGCTCCACAAGCCCAGAGCTGGCTTGTGTCACACGTGTTGCACTGGCCAACAACTGGCAAGGGGCAAGTGACAGCAGGCTTGGCTTCCACATGCTTTGGAGAAATGATTGCATGGGTTGGCAGGTCTGGGGCTGCCCAAAGATGTCTGTTTTCCCAAATCCAGTTCAAAATCAAGCCTGGTTTCTGGATCCCTTGATTATTAACTGAGCTGCTGGGCATGGGAATTGCTTGGAGGCCAATGGGATATGGTCCTTCCATTTCCCACTCCCAAGTCTGGAATTGGGATAAATCACATGGTCTCCGGTCCTGGGTCATGCTGGCAAAGCAGGATGCTCAGCCTCCCTTTGGAAAGCTGTCAATTATTTACCAAATTTTATCCTGAAGCTAGGAAATAAGCACAACATGGAACAATTAATCAATTTTCCCACTCCAGCACTTTCCTGATAGGAAATTTCACTTTATCCACATCAGGGCAACCCTTTCAAACATCATAATTTATTTTGTATCTTATCCAATATTTGGGGAGACAGCTTCAAATGCTTGGAGCTGGGGAGAAATTATTTACTTCTCCCTTTGGACTGAGCTGCTGGTATTTTATATTTCACAGGAAAAGCTGATAGACTTTTCCTTGGGTTTGTTGTGATCCAAATTGGAAAACCCTGGAGTTGTGCAATTTCCCATAAAACAGCTGAATAAGCCAAAGAGGCAAAGTTTGTGAATCACTGGAGCACTTGGGAGATTTTAGGGCTGGAGATGAGGTGAGTGAAGGAGCTTTAATGAGGTGCTTTGCCTGTCACAGGCTTGTCACGACAGCACACATGGGAATATTTCTGCCATTCCCAGCAGCCTCTCCTTCTTCCCAGATGGAGGATGGTTCCCAGTAACCCAAGAAGCGTTGCTAATGAAAATTTCCACAGCCACGGATGACACAAAGCTGACAGAGCTGTGGGAAAGGGAGAGAAAGACCTACACCCTAATCCTTCTCTAAGAGAGTGAAAATTATCCTTTATTTTATCTCCCTGTGCTCTCCAAGTTCAGGTGATGAAAAAAACAACTGGATAAAACATATTTTTATATTTTTCTGGGGACATAGAAAAAAAACCGACTCGGTGAAAGCCGCCAGACCTGGTTACATCCAGATCCTTGCTTGGAACAGGGCAGCTCAAGGCACATTTGAGCAATATCCTAATTAAGAGCCATGAAACTGGAAGAGATCCAGTGCTTTCAGCATTCCAGGTGGTTGTGCCTCAATGGGAAAGCACAGTGGGGTTGGCACAGTAAAGCTGCTGGGTGGATTTTGGAGTGGAAATGTCCATGGTCATTCCATACCAAGAAATTTTTGGGATAAATCTGTGTGGTTGAAGGAATAGGGATATAAATACTTAACCACTGACTTAACTCTGTCCTAAAGGCTTTGAGAGGTTGGAAATCTTTCCATAAGGCAAAACACTGACAAAACACCACGGCTCCTTCAGAGGTGCAGCAGTGCCAGACTTCAGGGAAAGAGGATTTGGGAGCGTTCCAGTAAAATTGTGGAGGCAAGGAAAGACCTTTGTTACCTTTAAGGTATTCCTTGATCTAAAGATAATCAGGAGCTCACGGAGAGATGGAGCCCTAGAAACAAACCCAAAACCTAACAAAAACAACCCCAGGTGGTGTCTGGGTGTGGTTTGGGATAGGAGGGATTTGGATTTTTGATTTTGGAAGTGGCAACACCCTCCTGGCTTCCCAAGTAGAATTCCACTGCCACTGTCAAGAACAAAATGGGATCCTAATGAAAAAAAAAAAAAAAAGCAATAATGAGGAGAGTGGGACAACAGGATTCACACCAAAAATGACATTAGAAAACACTGGCTCCTTTTAGCTTGGCAGAGTTAAGACAAACCTAAGTTAAATGAGACTGGAAATTGAGGTTGGATATTAAACACAAAAAAAAATTGGGATTATTTCTATAAACAAAGGCAGGGAAGAAACCTGACCTGCTTTAAACCTGATAAGCATGTGTAAGCTGTGGTTTGACAGAGCAGTTAGGTAAGGCTTAGACAGCTTATAGGACTCAGGAGGCCCTAAAAATTCCCTTCTGTCTCTGTCAGGGGAGGAATAAAGCCTGGGAAAGGTTTTAAGCACTGACTGACAGGAGCCAGAAGGGACTTTGGTTGAAATGTCATTTCGGGTCTGGAGAGCTGAGAATATCAACGAGGCGTGGTGTGTTAGGGAGAAAGGTTTGTGTGCCAAAAGACTTCAGGAATTCTCAGTGGGATCAATCTAAACCTTCTCCCAGCCTGTCCCTGGGAGACTGTCCCAATTTATAACTTAAAACAGGGAGACATAATCTCTCTCTGCTTATCACAAATACCAGAAAAGGCAGATGACAGAAATTTGATGTTTATAGGTAAGAAGGTGAAATGCTTCACCTGCTCTAATTTCCCTTACAGTCAACTCTTGTTTGAATGATTAAACCCCACATTTTTATGAGATGTTCTGTGGCAGGGAGTGAACACCAAGCATTGCTCAGCTGTTCCAGTTGTTGATTATCAGCCACACGTGAAATTAGTCCTGTGTAAAATATTTCTACTGTGATTTATGGAGTTCCTACAGCCAGTGGCTCTTGTTGCACCTCTCAACTAAATTCAGTTTCTCACTGCTGCAATTTTCTTCTTCTCCACAGAAATGGTTTTTTTTTCTGGGATACGTCTTGGATAGACTTTGGTGGGCTCTCTGACTTCTCTGTTCTCCAAGGCTTTAATCCTTCTGATGGTCCTTCTCTGAACTCCTTCTGTTTCACCACCTTCTCTCTTACATTGTCCAACCCAGATATGGACATTTTCTTGAGCGACTCCATAGAATCCCAGAATGTTTTGGGTTGGAAGTGACCTTCAAGATCACCCAGTTCCAACCCCCTGTCATGGGCAGGGACACCTTCCACTATCCCTGGATGATCCAAGCCCTGTCCAACCTGCCCTCGGACATTTCCAGGGCTGGGGCAGCCACAGCTTCTCTGGGAAACCTGTGCCAGAACCTCACCACCCTCACAGGGAAGACTTTCTTCCCAATATCCTATAAAACGCACTCTCAGTTTGCAACCATTCTCCCTTGTCCTGATATTCCATGCCCTTGTCCAAAATCCTGACACTCCATCCCCATGGTTCTAAAATCCCTCTTTGGCTCTCCTGGAGCCTCTCTTCAGCTACTGAGAGCTCACAAGATCACCCCAGAGCCTTCTCCTCTGCAATACCAGGAATAAACAGGATGGATCCACCTGTGATACGAACACCAACCAACCCTATCTGACACCGGGGTCATGTCATGGTAATAACGGGCATCAATCTACATGACATCATTGTCTTTCCTGAGAGCTGATTTGCAGGATGGAGTCTGCTCCATTTTCCAGATATCAGATTCCCAAGCATCCTAGTGATAATTGATTTGCAGGAAAATACAGATACTGTTGATCATTGCACTGAGCCACCTGGAGTTCAGCTCCTGTGATTCCAAAGGGGCAGAATTTTTGCCAGGGGACTTTTTGGATGCTCCACCATCTTCACGTGTGACTCAGTGGCTGGGAACCTCTCTGCCCGTGCCCGTGGCCACAGCGATGTTTGATGATCCAATGGAAGTTCCAGCTCTCATGGGTGTGTGTCAACAACAAGACTTTGGGCTTGTTGGGGTGGAGTTGGTCTCCACCCTCCTGATGAAACTCTGCCACTGGGCAGGAAGGAATTCAGGTTTCGTTGGGCTGGAAAAGGGTGAAAATGTGAGAACCTTTCTCCAAGGAGCGCTTCAGGTCTGTCTTCCAGGAGCTGTTTGGTATTAAATGTTTCTCCTTCATGAAGAGTATCCCAAAAAAAAAAAAAAAATCCAGATTCACAGCTCAGATTCAGTCTCTAAAGAGCTCCTACACCTTTTTTTCCTGTGTCTGAGCTTCATTTTGCTGCTTTGCACCCCCTGCCTGAAGATGTGAGGTGAGAAGCTGAACCTCTCCAAGCAGAGAAGGGAGCTGTACTTGCATTTCCCAAAATCTGGCTGAAGATCACTAATCCCAAGACTAAAAAGCAGGATGGGAGGAAAGATTCCAGCTTGCTGGATTTTTACAAAAAGATGTAAAGGCTTTTACAAAAAGGTGAGTTGTGTTCAGGGCTCTGAGAGAAAAAAAGGGAGTCCAGGGATATGATCATATGAAGGTTGGAATCATTGAATCATGGAATGGTTTGGGTTGGAAGGGACCCTAAATCTCATCTCGTCCAACCTCCCAACCATGGGTAGGGACACCTTACACTAGATCAAGTTTCTCAGGTTCCTCTTCTTCCAGCCAGAGGGCTGAGGACAATTCCTTCAGGCATCACCTGTGTTTGGTCCAGCCTGGGAATGTAGGTCCCTCAAGCCTTTTCTGAAAACAGCAAAAATGTCCAAGATGTGATTCTGGGTTGGATCCCAGAGGGATGAATATCCACAATTCAGGCATTTCAGGCTTCCTTTAAGCTGTGTCAGTCCTACCATGGACTTGAGAGATCTCTAGCTAGTGTGAAGTGGTCCTTGAGTGTGTCACGTCCTGAACCCACTGGATTTGTTCCAGGGAATGCCCAGGCACACTCTGAGGGCCAAGGACATTTCCAGAGAGGTCGTTCTGGTTAGAAGGATGAGAAATTCAGGCACGAGCTGTGACAGTTGTGATC